TTAGTTCAGTTGAACGCAAATCAATTTTGTTAGACGACAGAAGAAGAAGTATCCAAATAGTTTAGTAGCAAACATTTCCATGGTAATGTCAACAACATCACATTGTGTAGGAACTAGAAGTGGTTGTTCAAATTTTCTGTCGAATAAATTGAATGTCTTTTCAACCATAACTATCTCATGAGACGTGAATAGTTTTAACGAGATGCATAAGAGCACAGTGAATAAATTGCGGCGTTGATATAATTGGGAAAAGGAACATGAAGAAGGAAAAACGTATGTAGTGATTAGGTTGAAATTATCAAATCTTGATTCAAAAACAGTTGATCTGCAGAACATATTTTCTTTTGAATTCTTGTAATGAGCGATTTAAACTACACTTGTGCATTCCAGATGAATAAGCAATCTCTGGGCGATTTCAGCCTGAACTCAATGTCAAAACCTAATTCGTTTATGTTTCGGACTAGAATCTGTCATCAATGCTATTCGCTGATTGAATGTTGAAATAATGGAGATGTGCTTATGATACAGTTTTAGATTCTCCAAACATTGTACGCTGATCTAAATACCACATTTATCTTTATTGCTAACCAAAATATCCCATGAGAAGTGAATGGTGCAATGATGGAAGTTATTTGTAGTTCAGGTGGATGATGTCGATGGTGTTGCGTCCTCCGAGCTGGATTGTTTAATTGTGAAGCTTTCATTGTCATTCTAGACAACATCATCAGCACAAACTTCAGAAAGAAGTGGACCATAGGTTTTTCTTTACAACTGGCTTATTAGCTTGTCCTGATGGCTTTATATGTGATTTGTTGTTTCTACAGAGGTCTTGACTTTGTCTCCATATTTATTTATATCGGCTGTCCTGGTGGTGTGAACTCTTACCTTCTTGATGTTTATAATTAGTTGATAGATTGAGTCAGTGTCAACACGTCTGTTGATTGCTGACTGACCTGAATGCCAAGCTTCTCTGGCATTCTTTGCATTTTCTATATACAGGATTTCCATATTTTCCCAGTCGAATTCACGTCCACAGTTGTCCGTTTGCATTGTTATGAGCATAACACTTTGTCATGTCATGTCATGACACTTAACTGTTCGTGTAGATGGATAGGGAGAGGGCAACCACCCTGTCTGATATGGTGTTTTTTGTAGCTTTTGCAGTTTATTATGTAGATAACACTTGGTTTGTCTTCCTTTGCTACTGCATCTTTTGGCCTGCATAGCAGAGTGGAGAGATTTTGCGGGCTTGTGAGCTACAGCGATTCCAAAAGATTTCAACAACCTAGTCGTGATTATGGAGGTGTTCTTCATGTAAGGCAAGGGAATCCGTTTGTTAGTTTCCGAGAATGACTTTGTGATTGACGACGAATTATGCAAAACTTTCCTTGATAAAGTTGCGTAGATAGTCAGCTGTTCTTTTGGAAAAGATTCATTGAATAGTTTTCTTTTCTCCGCAAGTTCGATGTACTACAGTGTGTCTACTCTCTCTTGAACAATGAATTTAAATAACTGACTTTTTGTACTGTTGCGTTGTTGATACTGTAGTTGAGGATTTGATCAAACCAATGAAAGCTTCACGATTAAGCTTTCCAGCTCAGAGAATATGACACCAACTGAAAGACGTGGATAGTGTTAACAAGATGCATAAGAAAACTTTGAATAAATTATTCCGTTAGTGCTAGTAGGATTGTGAACATGAAGAAGAAAAGCCGTATGTATTGGTTAGATTGAAATTATCAAATCTATTGATTATAAATTTCTTGGGGCGGCAAACTGTAGAATCCAGCACGCATGCATAGCACTTTTGGGGCTTGTCAGTTTGATGTCCCTGCGTCCAAGCGAGCGATGTTTCTCGCAGAAAATAGTTGTTCTTACTTGGCTGAAGGCAATCAACAGGTAGCTCTGGAGTTACGTTCCGTGTTTTGTCGAACTCATTAGTGAGGCCAATATACGACCTAACTGGGAGTTATGTTCATGCATCAAATCGTTTGCCTGGAGGCGTAGAGGGAGAAACATGGGATTTTTTGAAGGATTATCGAATCCACTTGCCTAGGTTTTTCTTCCTTTGACTGTGCCTATAAGTTCGCATGGATATTTTTCTTCAAGTGTGTGTTAATGAACTAGAATTTCTAGGCAACTTTGTCGATGAGAAAAGATTTCTAGCCGTATTAAGTGGCATTTCTACCAGTCTTTGCTTGGAACGCATAGGACTGCACCTAACAAAATGCAGATACTGTCCATTACATGTTACACTTCTGTGAAGACATGTCTGGAACGACCCATTGTTTCCCCGCTAAATGGTGAACTTCCTTTTCTGGCTCATACTTTACAATAAGCATTGTATTAATGTACGCCTTGCGAGTGAATAGATGCTTTGGATGAAATGAAAGAAATGTGTAAAGTCTTGTAGAACAGGTCATTTTAAAAGCCATTGTAAGTGATGGAATAAATAGGATAAATTAGTCATCCGAAAACTGGGATAATTAAGCATAAGACAGAGAAAGAAGAGTTAGCCATGAATTGACAAACAAATGTGCACTGAAAAATTTTGAAGTACGATAATGATGACAACCTAATGAAAAGCTTGACATTCATCTTTTAGACCATCAGCTTGGAATTTATTTTATGAACCCACTAAAAGTGTGCTATACTTGAGAAGTATGTCGTCACTTCTTCTTAAGTATTCATCCGTATTCTGAAAATGACAACTGTTTTGGAAAACTAGCTAACTGAACTAACCAGAGTTAGCTAGACGATCAAGGTTAAAGCTACTGGTTGACTGTCACTGTTGCATGGATAACTGGGTAGAACGTCCATCCGGATAAACTGCACTCTGAATGACCAAAATAAGCAGATATTCATGAGCTAATTAGAAATTAGATGTACATGGAGGTGATCTAAAATAATTTATTTATCCTGTAAACATCGTGATGTCCGTTGCTAAGGGGAGAAAAGAACTCGAATTCTGGAGGATTTGAGGGCTTTACTAACTGGCTTAATGCGATAGGTGTTTCTATACTTACACAACAGTATTTTCTTTAAATCTAATGTTCGTAAAAAGAATGTGTTTGGAGAAATTTCATTTGCTGTTTAGACTTAGCGGTTCAATCAGACCTTAGAGAAGAGTTATTTGGCATACGTGATTTTTACTTATTACTAGATCCTCACTTTTTATTTTATCTGCTTAAATACTTCTGACCCTCATGCAGTATATGAATTAGATTTATTTCCTTACTCAGCAGTATCAAGATTTGAGAAATCTGTATTTCCCATTCGCTCTAAACCGATCAAATGACACTACTAGAAATACTCAACACGAAATCCGGATTCCTACTGGGGTTATTTATTGCCAAAGAACAACATTGTTAATACATATTTGAAAAATGTTGTATAGTGGGAATCTGAGAGTTCTGTACTGTAAACATTATTGTGGTTTGAAATGAAACAAGTAAATCATTATTATTATGTCCCGAATAATTCAAACTTACAACATTCTATTTTGATTTTGACAGCGATGAAATTTGAATATATATATATATATATATATATATATATATATATATATATATATATATATTATATACTATATATTTTTGCTCACTCTTGATCCTGGTCCTGGTCGTTAGTTTCAAGTAACTCTTCAGCAACTACAGTTTCAATCAAAGATTGAGCAAAACCTTTCCCAGATAGGTGATGCCATTACTGTTCGCAGTTGCACTTAAAATGCTTACCTTTTTTCGGAAATTTAAGCAGTTATGATTTTAACCGTTAGCTACAACTAAATGCAAAATGAAGAATCAACCAAATGTTTTGAATCCAATCATAAAACCTATTATTGTTAACGGAAAATCAACATTATTATTGCACATTTGAAGCCCTGAGACACTTTGTTTGTTGATGTGTTAGGTAATCTTATGAGAAGTAATATCATAGAGTACTGAAACTAGGCTTTAAAATGTACCAAATAAGCTAGATGAAAATTGTCTCCACAAAATTTTGTATTCGATGCATTTTGTGCAGAAGCACTGTAGATCCGTAAAGCATCACTACTGGTTTCAGCAGAGCTGCTAAGATTGTGTTTCATATGGTCATTATCTTTGTAAATGGATTGGCAGACATCGGGATTAGGTTTAAGATCCCTCCAACCAAAACATTGCTTTTACTGCGTCACAGTGTATGTTAGGTCATAGTTTGAACTACATATGCTTGGTGCTCTTTAGCTGTGATCGCATGTGTCAACTTGCATAAATATGCAACGTATAAAACATACTTTTCAGTATATATTTATGTTTTCACCTCTAGCGATTAGTTTTGTACAAACTGGCACTTTTTATTGATAATATCACTGATGTCAAACACATCTTCATCTTCATTCCCACCTGCCTAAGTTCGTTTGTCCCCTACATATTCTCTAATCTGACTCATTTCTGATAATTTCTTTCTTACCCTATAAAATATGTGTTTCTTCCTTTAACGTTTCAATATTCCTTCCTTTGGTAAGACCATATAACTTCTTTTTAGTTCCACTTTTCGAACCAGACCTTTCATCTCAACATCCTAGGTGCAAAGTATGTTTTCATAGAAGCGAATGTGTTTATTCAGATTTTATGGATCTGATTACAAACCACTGAAATCACTGTTATTATCACCTCGTTATTAATATAATGACAACTTGTATGATTTATTATTATTCCAACTTTTATTGTCCATTCATACTCTGTAAAACCATCCACTGTTTGATTTTGCAAAGCACTTTTCATATGATCTGACCCTGGATAACAGTAGATATCCTAAGATGATACAAATGAATGCACTTTGTAGCCCATACAATTTTATTTGTGGTAGTAACAAGATGATAATAGAAGGAAATGGAAATGAAGATAATTCACAGTAACAAATAGAATTATGTACGCCACTGTATTTTTCTGTAACTCAGCTGTAAAACAAGACATGCGTGACATAATGCATCATAATTTAAAGTGCAAAGTTGAATTATCTGAAAGTTGAAATAGGAATTGTGTAGGAGTGAGTCTGTCATGCAACTAGAGAATCAAATTGCAAGAGGTATGCAGACACCTCTAAACGCGTTAACTGTAATATGCATTCACAAGAATGGTATTTTCATAATGTAGTCTGCTTCAAGTAGTTATCATAACTAACTTCGATTTTTGATCATTTTGATTTCACATATAACGTTCTTTCAAGATCTGGAGGCTCGACTAAAGTTTTTACATCCTGTTTAGAAGAAAAAAGTCAATATTAATATTTCTAATGCCATGGTGCATAAGTAGTCCAAAAATGATAAACTGACAAGCAACACTCCATTACGTTGGAAATCTACTTCATTTATTCAAAACCGTAAACTCTGATCAACAAATGCATTACCGAGATAATTGTATCTATAGACTTTAGCTTATGGTGAATATCTAGTCCTGAATTCTAACCTGAAACATTGCGAGAATGTTATAAGCATTGATTAACAATCAGATCGTCCGGATTAGGTTTGGCCGGAAGTTATGTTGATTAAGCGTACAAAATGGTGACTAATATTGAAAATGACTTAGCTTCCTACCATTACATACGTATCCTTTACTTTTCTGCAACAACACAATCATTTCTTGAAGCTTTCATCAACATGAAAAGCTGATCTTGTACACTATAAGCTGATTGGATAAGTCAGACGTTTAAAATACAATTATGCCAATTTATACACCATCATAGACTCTAAAAGCTAAGAAATAGCTAACTCTATTCATAAAGCCCAGCAGTAAATAAAGTTTTTCACTGAAAAAGTGAAACTGGAAACCCCATAAGAGATTTCAGGTTGAAATAATTGACAAGCTTTTATTTTTGAGAACATCATGTCTCAAAATACCTGTAGAATAACTCAAACTTTAAACACATTTTATGAAGTAAATTGTGAAAAAAAGTAATTCAGTCCGATATTTAGCGATGTTCTTAATCTACATATGAGGTAATTCAGCAATTTCTGTAATTTTATTCATGGTATCATTGACATAGTTTGACTTAATCTAAGTAGAGTGATTAAGTGGTCATAAAAATAATGAATGTAATAACAAATAACATGACAGAGAAGAAGTGGAACAAGGTTAAGTGGAAATGAGGAGATCAATCCAAATGGAAGTCCCCAGTTGCAAGTTAGTGACTAGCTGATAGAGGTTTATTGCTCATAAAATTTAAATCTGATACTTATGCGTTTGAAGTAAGCTAGTTGTTAGCTAAAACGTAACAGAAAATCTGTATTTTTTCTCCGAAGTCAGTAGATAAGTAGCTTTAAGCAGCCATCAGGATAGAGTATTACAGTTGAAAATACTCTGAATCAAAGAATAATTTTAAATGCTTCTGTTTTGAGAAGAGAAACAATCTTCTTTGAAGCTTTACATTTGTTGTGACACTTAGGCATTAAGAAAACTGACTGGGTCGAAATCGCAATGCTTCACAAAAGTTTTGCTTTTTTTATTGCATGATTTAAGTCTCAAGCCCTGCTACTCACTTTGCGGAATCGAAAAGTCGACTTATGATAAGAGATATTTAACAGAAAGATAGACACCCAATTATTCTATTGTGCACAGATATAATATACAGAGAAAAAAGCTTTTTTAGAGATGACGTCGTCTACTTAAGCCATCCAGTTATATTTGCAACTACTGTAAGCAAACAAGTGTAATACTGATAGACAACGTAGGTCTAGGTCATTATTATAACGTTCAAGAATGGACTAAAAGGTTGTTTCTGAAGACAGGAAAAGGCCACGTAGTCATGCATGATTTGATGAAGGTAACAAGAAATAATATGTTTAGGTAAGTTGATGATTTTTAATTATAACTTGTATCTAATGTCAACTTTCCACTCAGCGCTCAGTATCTGTGAAACAACGTGGTGAAATCTTGACAAAGATTCACACAACTGTCAGGATTTTTTCGCGGAGTGAAATGAAATGGGTAAGTAATCAGCCGGCAAGTAAAAATAAGATGAAGAAAGAGACAAGGAACCTAATGAAGTGTTAATTATGAACTAATTGTTAATAATAACATTAAAAAGCACCAGACTCATTTGTTTGGTAAAGTTGGTTTTGTCTTCTTTACCTATCAACATATTTTTAAAATATTTTAAAAAAGGAAACTAGCCAGTTTCTCCTATAATTAATTTCTTAGCAAGCAACCATCTAGAGTGCTCAGTTGAAATCCAACCAGATTTTCCTCGAAATTCACTTGTGAGATGTTAGTGTAAGACAGTGATCTCTAAAACATATTTCAGTGTTTGTATCTATCTTGTGGAAAACAAAGTGGTCATTTAAAGCTTTCATTACTTGAGTTGAACGTTTTAACTGTGAGATTTGATCCAACCAGAATTTCTTAAATTTATATTTTACTCAAAATAAACAAAAGATACATCTGTTCTTAAAGTTGACGGTTAATGAATGCTTCACGCATTATTGGTAATCCTGAATAACATAGTAAAGTAGCAAACAATTTTATGTTATTAATGAAGACAGTTAAAGTGATAATCAAACAATTTCTGTTTAAGTGTTGACATCCAACAATGTCAGTTAAGTAAAATATGCTTCTGACGAGTTTGACATCTTTATTGATAAAGAAAACACAAACCAACTGTAGTTGTATGCTAAATCTTCCCAGTAACAAACATCAAAACAGCTAAAAGACATTTTGAGCGGTACTCTTTAATTAATCAACATCTGAAAGAGGTGACTTTAAGTCACATGTCAGAAAATTTCAGCTACACCGGTAACAATAAGAAGCTTCGAATGATATTTTTTGATTCTTCTGAACAAATACTGTCCTCGACAGTGTGGTGAAGCAAAATCTTGCATTTCTTAGGAGACTTTACGGTAATATGATAATTCGTTCAAGTATATACAAACTGGAAGGATAATAAACATGTCATCACAAACTGTTGTTTCCAGCTCAATAAAGAAACATCAAAACTTTTCTCATTATGAATGAAAACATCGACCATTTAGATGACTCTTGATGTAAAAAAATATATGATCTTCCTCTACTGCCTTCTATTCTACATGAAAAGACATCCATGAAAATTTTGTCTGACCATGAATGAATATAAATCTGTAATAGTTTCCATTTACTTTACAACAAATATTCAACTATTTTCAGTTACTGTGAAATTTCATGTAGGAAAAACTCCTTAAAAGCTCTTTGTTGTGTAGTTTCTCCTTTTTTTGTACTAAAACCATAGTGTAGTCTGAATGAAGACACCTCAGTAAGTACTGCATTTGTACACGAAACACAGTTCATTGTAATGAACCTGTGAACCATTTCATATACGTTAGGGCTTATATTCATAAGCCACATAGGTCACAAACTTGATACACCCGGGTTAATATACAGCGTATAAATAGGTTCTAAAACTTCTTTATTGCAATGTCAAGAGCAATAAGACCAGCTTCGCTTAATCATGAGAAAATGTGATAACTGAGGTGATTTCATGCCCTAAAGACTTGTGAGATTTTCGTTCCAATTCCTTTATACAATTCTAAAGCAACATACTTTTATTATCCCTCTCAGTATATGTATCAAAAACAGGAAATAACAAGCCTCTTGTATTCCTCGAGATTAATTTATAAAGCGATAGGCATTACCATTCTTTCAATTATGAATTGCATGAGTATTGAAAAAAATGTGTGAATCTAAACCATCCTACTTGAAATTTTCCAGTAGCTTATCATCCTTGCCCAAATTGTTAGCCGAGAGACATTTAGATGTCTAAATGTCTAATACTACTTTGTTCTGTTCTGTTCTGTGAATTCTTTCTGTTGTCTTCAAAAATTGGTTTTCACTTAAAAGGGGAATCGCTTAAATTTATATGAAATATTTTTATGTCAGATTTAAAACATGACAAATAAATTATCCGTGGGAAAGGAAATTTTCTTTATCGGCATTTAATATACTTTAATGATAATAATAATGGCTTCATTCTCAAAGCTATTTTAGGAATACTCTACAAAATTTTCAGCATGTCATATGGCAACAGTTGGATAGAAACAGTGTATATGTATACATAGCGAAATGAAATAATTATAAATTACATATAAGATAAGAATATTTACTCTACCTACAACTTATTTGAAAATGTGCAGTTAATTTAGGTAGACGGTCACAGTAGCAATTAGATTCATAATACATAAATAGTAACATGCTCATCATAAGCATCGGTTAATCTGCTTTCAAAAAAAGAAGTTGATTACTTAGTCCATTTCTAACACTTTCTTCATTTCACAGGAGACAAGGTAAACGTGGAATTGTAGTTTTGCATAAAGTCTTGTGTACTTGCTCCTCATCTTTCCTGATGACTGGCATGTAAAGAGCTTTGAGTGAAGAGGATGCTGACCATATAATAAAATAACTCCCACTAGATGTTTACTTGAGTTAAGATGTTCGTCCACAACAGTTCTAATTAGAAGGTCCAGAGGTGCACCACTAGTTCTGTTGACAATCTTCAAAGTTCTACACAATATAGCATACTCTTTTTTCAGCAACCCGGGAAAAAATAAAGGAAAACAATAGAGGAGAAAAGGCAAGATGCAGGAGTTTGTAAAGCGCAAGAGGAGCGGCTGAGTTATATCAGATACTCTCAACTTCCTAATATAGAAAGTAAGGCTGTGAATCGTTTTGGAAAGTAGTAAGATATGGGAAGAACAGGAAAGGTCCGAAAAAAGGTCGGGATAAATCACACTTGCAAAATTCTCTTATGTATAACTATCATTAGGAAAGGAATCATGAAAACTGAGAAATTTACATATGTTATGTTCACGCCTGAAATCAAAGTTCACGATCTGACATTTTGAAGAATTAAGCACAAGACAGTAGGCAGAGAATCATTCAGTTGAGAACGATCCGTTGAAGATGAGACACGTGCGGATACTGTCAGGTCACCAGCATATTTGATAAAACTGATGCTAACTGAAGATCGTAAGTCATGAAGAAAGAAGGATAAAAGATAGGGGGAAAGGACAGTTGCTTGAGGAACACCAGTCACAGTAAGCAATGAGGTGGAGCGCTTTTCTCTGTGAGCAGTATGTTGTTTCCTTTGAGAAAAATAGGAATGCAGGCAGCTGATTACCTAGGGCTCAGTATTTGTCCCGGCTAGCTTGTCCAGTAGAAGAGGCCCTGGGACAGAATCAAATCCCGAAGTATAGTCTGAAAAGGCACACCTGACATACTTGGGATTTTTATCAAGATGATAAACAATATTGTGAAATAAGGGAATGGTGGCATCCAAAGTGCTTCTCTTCTGCTTGTATATGCAAGTTGATTAGGATCACCTTCGGTGAGGTTCCAGGTACAGGTATAATTAGCTTTTCTATTATTTTCAAGATAGGAGAGGGCGGAATTTCGGACATGTGCGGGATTCCTTGGTTTAGGTACGGTAACTATCTTAATATCTTTCCAGACAGCTGGTGTGCTGTTTACTAAAAACAATCTATTGAACAGGTTGGCTAATGAATGGCATAAAATATCAGCTAAGTTCGTCAATACAAACCTTGGTATACCATCTGGACCTGAAATTTGTGGTTTCAGGGATCTGAAACATTTGAAAACATTTTTCTCGGTGAACTCTGGACGACATTCTTCATTGGGAATATGTGGATGGGATGGGACAGGTGGGTTGGCGTATAAACGATTTGCTCAAAGCACAGACGTCAACACGCGCTTCTTTACTAAGGTATTTACCATCAGTGAGGTCTTTAAAAAGTTTTTACATGCTAGAAGAGCCTTTGCATGACAAAAGTTTCTGGTTACATAGTAGACTCAGATGGTTAGTTTTTAACCTAATTAAAACATCCAGTCGACGAGCACCAGCATTATCACGTACTTTATATGGTCTTTCTTTTTCTCTTTTTAGTCTCTTAAGCTGGAGAAAAGATTTATGATCGAAGCGTAGAAAGTTTTTTCACTAGGGTAGCAGATATCCAGGCAAAACTTGAGATAGTTTGTCGCACCATCAACAGTGTCGTTCAAAACATTACTGTCAAATATGTTCCAGTCTGTAGCATTACTCTTAGATTAAGTATGTTAATATGTGAATAGTTTCTATGTACGCATTTCTTATATCCAAAGGCTGCTTTGTGTAGTTCGCCACATATTTTAATCAAAATACATCATGCAACGACCTGAGTTCAGCGGTGTGACTTCCCTTCGAGTTTTATATATATATTAGTATCATTGACGAATACCAAGGCTAGTGTTGTATCCTGACGTCTTGTGCAAACAAAAATTTGATGACCAAGAGTTTTAAGAAAGCTTTGGTCACAAGAATTGAAATCACCGCATATTATCAACAGGGAAACACAGATTATAGGGGCTGCGAATTCCGTTAATATATCAGAGAAACTAAAAAATTCGGAGTAACTGCAACCAGGTGTCACCTAGATATTTGTTATATAAATAAAGCGGTACTTGTTCAAGTGTTTTAGGCGACATTTAACAGTGATGTGATCTACGCAATCACTTGACAATTTGAACCATACGTGACCCAGAATGATGAAGGTAGCAACACCACTTTCACTTTTCTGAGTAGATTTATATCGATCCTGACGGGCAATTTTGTAACCATCCAGAGAAACCAAATTGTCATTATAAAGTTAATGTCATCAAGTTTCTTGCAATTTAATTACTCCAACATTATCGTGCACAGTGGAGGACATTAGGGATTGCAAGTAATCCACTTTTCTCTGCAGTGACTTGCAGTTCGAACTAATGATTTCAGGCAGAGTCATCTTATTCGGTAGTGGCATCGCAGAAGGCCGTAAACTTTTTAAAAATTTAAGTGAATATAAAGTGCGATCAGGTGATAAAATCAAATTATTCGAGCAAACAAGAGCGCAGAAAAATTTGATGCAAAATGTGAGTTTAAAAATTCAGTAGCCTAGATATTTAAGCAGGCCGCTTGGATGATTAACACTTCAGTAAACTATTTTCCCACAGACTGTTTCATGATATTCTGTAAACCACATCCATGTGAAAAACTATCAAATTGCTTCCTAGATAAGGCTTGTTGTATATCAGCAATACCAATAAACAGTTCTTCTATTATAGAACCATATCCAAGTGCTCTGTTAAAGCCAAATGTGTGTATTGGTTTATAGTACTATTTTCGTTTGCGGTTTTATCTTGAATTCCACACACTTCCTCGAGATCACCAATCTCTTCTGAGAGAGGAGCTTGATATAGAAATCCTTCAATTGTGAAGTCCACTGCTCAGATAAAAAGCTATGCTCTCAAATTCATTCCCCGCTGCAATCTGATTTTTAAACAATCTAGATAATAACTAGTCCATTTTCACTTTTAAACAAATTTCATACACAGCTTGCTGAGTGATTAAACAAGTCTTTGTTTAAAAATAAAGTCATTTTGCAGCTATTTGTAAGTCACACATTTATTCATGGTACAAGAAATGTGAATTCAGACTTGTATCACCTACCAACTGTTCGAACTCCGAACATTCAGACCTGCTCATTTCAAATAACAACTAACAGAGATTCATTCGGGGTTGAATACAGTTTGCCATAAATAGTCTTTGGAACTGTTTACAAAGCTTCATGGCTATTTTTCCAACTAAGAGGCCATGACATTGAAGTCACCATAGTTTTATGCAGTGTAAAAAAATATATAAATGAACTTACTGGTTGCTTTGATAACCTCTTCCTTGTTGACTTATTATTCTGTAGTACAGTCATATTACTAGATCTTCCAATGCCTAAAGCAGCTCTAAATTTCGCATTTGTAAAAGCATATATAAACGGATCATAAATAGCTGCCATTTTAGCGAATAGACATGGGATCTCAGCCATCACTGGTGTCAGAAAGTCGTTATAGCCTATCAGTGAAAGGAGGCATACTGTAGCATATGGTGTCCATGACATTAAATAAAAAAGGAGTAAGAAGACACATGACTTTGCAGCTTCTACATCTAAACGTCTTCTGTCTAGAAATGAAAAGAAAAAGACAAACATTTTGAGTAAGTTTGGCTGTATCTATCGAGGGAATCAAATGATTTCAGTGACTTTTACTTCTGAAACCTTCTGTAGAAGAGTTTGTTTTGGTTGGCAGCAATTTATCTCTACAATAGGATATATGTGTAAAACAACACGAAACACACTCGATCCAAAACAGATATTGGTATGGCTTGGTAAATTATTCTTCTGATAACTTGATTCTATATTCAAACCTACTTTACACTGTTGACAACTGACCTGCAGATTAGTTCATAAACAATTTAGCCAATCACGATAACAGCTAATCGACCTCTTAAAGACTAAATCACTCCACGTAGGCCTAACACTGATCACGACGTTTGCTTCATTTCAGTATCAGGTCCAATCCTCTTCAATAATACCATAAAATTATGCAATTTATATTCACAGTTGACATAACTCATCTAAATCTCTCAATGAAGTCAACTCATATTATTTTCAAAAGTGTTTAGTGAACTAATTGGAGGCTCTAAATTATATACTATTAAGCCTTCATGAAATAATACTGCCACAGACAATATACATTTGGTCCACGTCTAATAATTTTTTGTTATTTTCTACCTCTTCCTCCTCACTCCCTGTCACTTATTATCGAATCACAATTTACGAGGAGACATCTCACGTGGTTGGTTGCACGGAATCGAAAAGTACTATAACAGAGAAAACTGGGGAAGGGTTGCTTTCTTTCCGTGATGAGCGACTATACCGTCAAAAGTGTTGTGACTCTTCCGACAAATCAATGGAAAATTCGTAAATACCACTCACCGTTATTTACCAAGCCAACTGACTTATCCACCTCATACAGCGAATGACAATCTTACCTGTGACCTTTCTGTCTTGTATTTGCATTCAAGGAAAATTCCTATTTGGACATTTAGAAAACAAATGATGTGACTGAAGAACTAATTGGAAAAAAATATCTCTTCGTTCATATTTTTTTATTTTCAGAATGAAGGAGAATATGAAGAACAACACACACAAACTACGTACAATTTCACACTGGATAATTAGTAATCATATTTTAGAAAGACAATAACTATACGAAGAGGATTGGATATGGATAGTAATTAAATACACCTCTTTGGATTGATTTATGCATCCTTGGTATTTTTATTTTGACTATTTTCCTTAAGGACATTGGACCAGACTTCCGTATGAAACGTTGGAATTATTCCACTTAAAACACTGTGACTTACACAAATACAAACTATATCTAATGTCAACGAATAGAATTACCAGAAAAATTTGCTTTCAAATCAACACACCATCAAGTGGACATACGAACAAAGTAAAAAGCACTGGTTATTGAATTAAGGAATGAAGATGATCTTAAAACTTCACTGACATTCAACAAAAGCATATTTCTCAAATGGATAAGTGAAACATGTCACTATTTATGTGATAACAACGTAAAGTTAGTTTATGACAGAAATATTCTTGCAAATTTTCTGATAAGCAGATGAATATTAGTTGTTTGCTACACATGATTTTCTATAAAGTAAGAGTCTACAAGGCTTTGATAGCAATCAGTGAGCTCAGTTAGATTTAGTTAACAAAGATGAGGGAACGTTACCAATGCACTGTTCAATTCACAGAAACTTCTCAGTGATTGGCACTTGATTCCATAAAGCAAGTAAATGGAAACTTTTGAACAGGCTTTCTCATACTGGCACGAGAATAGGAAGAAATAACAAAATAGACGAAGAATCGAAATGTCTTCACAAAGCATTTTTTTCTCTATCTCTTTAGATTAGTCACATAAGCATGATGCTAAATAACTTTCATGTTTTTTCCTATGGATGAAGCAAAAGTTTTGGCAGACGCTGTTTGTCCACTACAAACTCATTCATTAACGGAACGTGGTATTGCACCTTAAATTCCCACCCACAAACACAGGACACTAGAGTGGAAACAATTCAAATCTCAGATGACAATCAAAATCTAAGGGAGATGCAAATCAGTATTGTACATTTTATGAAATGTTCTTCAATAAATTAATTCATCATTTTCATGTATTCAACACTCACGCATATACACTTTGCATATCTAAACATTTGCAACAAGAAATTGACTTACTTCTGGTAAATTTGTAGTGTGTCCGTCCACTATCATCGGATAGAGTTAATGACAAACTTCGTTCATTTTTGCGGACAGCTCTTAGCAAACTCATATAACAGCACACACACAAAGTCACTGGAAATAAAAAGCCAAATATGTACATCCCTCCATTGAATAGTAGATTGGCTGTGTCATGTGAAATATAGTCGAATGTACATGATGTGTGAAATCCTTCAAGCACATAGCGTCCTAGGAAAATGAACAAGCATGCATCATGTCTACAACACTCAAATTATGCTCACTAAATTTTAACGACATATACAATTCATGTATATGTTGACAGATCAGTTATAGGTACAATCAAACTGCATGTTTTGATCAAAGCGCATGCTTCTCTGATCAACTGACCTAGGTTGAAGCCCTTTCTGAATTTGAAAGCTGACTGACTGTGAGTGCATCCGTATGTGCTGATAGAGCTTTGTTCAAAGTCAGGTTTCTCGTTCTCACCGTCTAGCAAACTGTGCTAGTCTGTCGGAAGTTTACGGTTTTCAGTTGGTGACTAAGTTACTTCCAACCGAGATGTCCGGAACATCCTACAATTTTGACTGGTCTCTTAACCATTATGTCAAGTGAAAATTTCTATATATGTGGTTGACTGCACGGACATTATCTCAAGCGCGAGAACTTTCAAGTAGCTTAGACCAACATATTTCCTGACTTGCATTGTCCTACTTGTTACTTGTCAAGTTGAAGTAAATATCTTCTGAAAGAGATACAACTGGTTATGCATCAACAATGCTTAATAATTTCAAATTTATACATTCATAGAAATTGTCACTTCAACGCTACTCTGCTGATTTTAACTATATTGATTTGAAATATAAAGTAAGAAGCAATCGGAGATGAAACGTGAGCAGTGAATCTAAGATGAAACATTGTCACAGGCAAGAGAATCTATGCAGAACCTTAGTTTTCACCAACCAGCTAGTTGAGATTTGTGAATGCGGTTGACCTAAGTATGCTTCATCTGGATAGCGAATTAACGGTATCTGAGTATTGATAACTAGCACTGCTTACACAAGGAGCCAGACAACAATGCAGAAGACTATTCACTTCATTGAAAAGTGTTTGGAATAGGGTGACATCTCAGGAATTTATATGTATTGAGGATGCTATTGTGGTGGCAGCTTGCGAAGATAAATGCTAATTTGTTGGAGTATTTGCTGAGATACTTTCTTTTCTGATTTCCGTGGGGTAAAACGATGTTAGCCCAGGGGCCATTTTCATGAACACTTCGTTTATGTATCTAAATATAGTAGGATGAATATTTCACCTTTACTTTCACCCTGCACGCTTTCCGTTGCTCTGATAGTTCTATCCACCCGTAAGGATCTACGAATGTCGATGTCTAGTGTCATCTAATTTGTTTTAACTAATCGTTGTCAATGGAGCATTGTACAAGGCTCATTGATCATTTAATTCCTTAACAATTAGTTTTTGTACCCCTTGATGTCACTGTAATTTCCAGCTAGTGCTTCATGAAAGTAGAGTGAATCACATTGAACCATTAATAAATGCTAAAAATATTTCACTCAACGGCTGATGGATCTGAGACTGAATGATACGACATTTGAACCAGATAACTGTTGCAAAATTACACGAATGGAATTCTCCAGAGGTTGTGTGTGCAAAGGAGGATAGTTTTACCACCAACATGAATAAACTTATCAATTTCCATAACTATATTGCGCAGTGGAATATTTTATTCATATTGTAATGTCCTCTTTCTGTGTATCGAATTGTTTGATAGCTCCCTGGTGTGGGCATGCATAAACTGTTAGCTCCGTACAGTTAAGTCCATGTTTAACAAATATTGATTCAATGGCCTACTTCCGCTAAGTGCTCGTTAACTTTGCAGCCAGGCTGTGAGAGTATTATGAATACATGTTTAGCTTACCATAGCCAAAGAAAGGTGGAATAGTCCACAACAAAGACCATATCCAAAGAACTATTATGATCAGAAACGTGTAACTGAAGTTTCCGCGTCTACTGATTCTAAAATCCTTGACTATTACTGAATAACGATCGAAAGCAATGGCAGATATCGTTGTCAGTGAGGAAAATCCAAACACCCCGCTGATAAATCCATATAACTGACAAGCTTGAAAAAACCAATTCAGGAATTAAATTATGATATATATATATATATATATTCAAATTTCATCGCTGTCAAAATCAAAAGTTATAATTTCAATAGAATGTTGTAAGTTTGAATTATTCGGGACATAATAATAATGATTTACTTGCTTCATTTCAAACCACAATAATGTTTACAGTACAGAATTCTCAGATTCCCACTATACAACATTTTTCAAATATGTATTAACAATGTTGTTGTTTGGCAATAAATAATCAAGAATAACATGGTTTTAGAAATATTTAATGACTTCAGGGTTATGACTACTGCTCAACACTGAAATGCTAACTGATAAGACTGTCTCACATGGTTGACTTCACAAAATACACAAGCTAAATAGGGTATGGTTTATGTTTTCTATGTATTTGTGCATGCATACAGTTTAATGATATTTGCTTCTTTTCTTCCCTGAAGACAGATATGGAGAGAGGTGTTGATGCAGAGGATGCTAGTCATTAGATAAAGTATCCTTAGCCAGCTGTCTACAAAATTTCAGAGGCCTATCCACGAACACATTTATCGGCACGGTTAGTGGAGTACCACCCGCTCAACTGACAGTCTTCAGAAGTCTATGCAATGTAGAATAATGTTTTCTCCGGAGTCCAAGAAAAAATTAAAGGAAACAATAAGCAAGTTCATACAAAACTCAGGAATCAATGAAACGTAAGAGTAGAGGCTTAGTTACGGCAGACAGTCTGGGTTTCCTTTCGCATGAGGTCAGGCGAAGGATTTTCCCGGAAATCATTAAAATATGAGGGGACCAAGAAAGATTAGAAGAAAAGTGTAAGCCTGAATGTTCTACGCTTGACACATTCTCTACAACTTAACTTTAGTTGAGCTTGATAAGTCGTACAAACAGAGGAGGTACACTGGCTTCATTATGTAGCAAAGTACAGCGCTTCCTTCTATTCATAGTACACTGTCTTCTCTCGGGAAATAAGAATTAAGACACTTCACAATCCAGGACTCAATGTGAGTTCTAGCAAGCTTGTTTAATAAGAGGGGTCTAGAGGTAGAATCAAAGGAAAAAGTGTAACCTAAGAAGGCATATCAAAATATTCAGCATCATTGTCCAGACCTGCAATCATATTATGGTGCAAATAACTGTAGCGTCTAAAGTACTTCTGAGTTTGTAGGCAAACCGATTTTGTTTTCTGAAAACCCTCAAAGAAGATTCAAGCACATGAAGCAACAGTTTTCCCGCTCCTTTTAGGAATCCTGAGGTTATTGCAGCTGATCGAAATTTCACTTCTGCTCCAGAAGATATGGACTATTTTAATTTTAATTCAGTTTATTTCCTTTCTGGCAAATAACTAATTAAAAAGTGTTTATTAGCGAATAAGACTAAATATCGTCACACTTGCAAAATAGGATACCTGACATGCCATCTGTCATGAGGCACTACGAAAGTTTTAATGATTTTCGGCATTTGAACATATTTGTTTCATTGAATTTAGGAAACTGCCTTCGGTTATGTGTGAACAAGTAGATAAGATAACATTAGCAGATTTACATAGGAATGACTGATTCAGTGCACAGATCTGCGAATGTGGTTAAGCTGGGTATGCGGTATCTGAATAGTGGATGGACTAACAGTGATCGATACATTATTGCAGCAATAAATTTCATGAATTTATCAGCCTATCGGGACCATTCGTAACAGCTGCAATGAGAAGTCCCATAAATATTGGTGACGAAAATTAATTAAAACTTGTCTAAATCTTCAGAACGACACATCGATACAATCTATATTGCCATTGGAATGGGCAAATCATGCATAATTTGATGAACACCACTTAGTGTTGATAATGGTAGCTACACCTTCACCGCACTTGTTCATAAAAGTACACCGATCCTGGTGAAACATCTTGAAACCACTTGAGGAAACTGCACTACCGTCACATAAGTTGTACAGCCAAGTTCCTTGTAATCTTATTACACCAGCATTATGATAAATACTAGAAAATAGGAGGCATTGTGAATATTCTGCCTGATCTAGTAGGGATCCGGAGTTCATTTTGAGTATTTCGAGTAGTATCATTTGAAGCAGTTTTGTTCACTCTAAAGCCTGTTGCTATCCACCATGATGTCTTTTCTTTATTATATTTGTCAAATTCATAGCTGTAGGTTGAAAACTTCGTAAAAGTTCGCGTAAATACTTGGTACGATTTAAGGTCATATTTAGACAATTAAAATAAACTAAGAGTAAACTTGGTGAAATATATAGGATAAAAATATTTGGTAGCTTAGTGGTCTAAGCAGGTCAGCAGGCATAAATAATCAATAAAGAGGGGGGAAATCTGTTTGAACTTCATTACTTTCTACATTATCATGAGATCTAAATGCGAATCCTGGTATTTTTCTTTAATTAGCTTATAAAATTTCAAGTGCCACCAGTCTTAATTTCTGAGTGTACAGTACATTGGTCAATCTATCTATTCCTCATTAGGTTTTTCTTCTCCTTCTTTTTACGCATATTCGAAATATGTCATTGGTTTTGTCTAATTGAGAAACATCGTAACTGCATGCTAACAACTCATGTTTGCTCCTCTCAGTATTAGTCAAATTGAGCTTAGATTTGAGGTTGGCATGCTTCATTGTCAACCCGGATCACCATCTTAGTGACGGGTAAATTGCTACAAAATACGAACGTACTACTGGATACTACCGGATAAAAACTCGGCATATAAAGTTACAGATTCCACTATTTGAAATGAATAAAATAAGCAGGTTGTGGGTTTGATAATACATTGAAAACATAGGAATCATGTCCATTTTTTAATGCAGCATCCCCGGCTCAACTAGTTAATAGAAGAAATATTTCTAATTTATCACAATCTATATATATAGAAACATATGAACATCTATTGTTTCTAAAGAGCAAGTAGTGCATATTTACTTTTCGTCTTTAGCAGTTCATATCAACATTCCATTTAGAAACCACACATCTTTCTCTGACATGAGTTGGTCTTCAAAGATACTAAAATCAAAGACTTAGTCCTTTAA